CACTCCATAAAAACAACCTAATTCAAAAAAGGGCAAATGACTTGAATATATATTTCTCCAAAGAAGACACATATAAATAACTTGAAATAGTGCTCAACATCACTAATTATAAGTCAAAATGACCATGAGATACCACTTCACACTAACTAGGATGGCTATAATTTAAGAAAAACTGGAAAACAAGTGATGGCAACTATGTGGAAAAATTCAAACCACCATGTGTTTCTGGTGGGAATGTGAAATGATGCAACTTCTATGGAAAACAGTTTGCCATTCTCTTAAAAAGTCAGATATAGAATTACCATTTGACCCAGCAATTCCACTCCTAGGTATATATATCCAAAAGAATTGAAAGCAGGGAACAGATATCTGTAAGCCCCTGTTTATAGCAACTTTACTCACAATAGCCAAAAGAAACAACTCAGATATCCATCGATAGATAAATGGATAAACAAAATGTGGTATGTACATACAGTGGAATACTATTCAGTCATAAAAAGGAATGGCATTTTAATAATATGCTGCAATATGAATGGACTTTGAAAACATGCTTAGTGAAATAAGTTAGACACAGAGGGACAAATACATGATTCCACTTAAATTATGTACCTTAAGTAGGCAAATGCATAGAGACAAGGTAGAATAGGTAGAATAGAGGTTATCAAAGTCTAGACGGAGGGAGAAAGGGGAAGTGTTTGTTTAATGGGTATAGAGTTTATATTGAGGATGATGAAAAAGTTGTGGGTATAGATAGTGTGATAGTTACAGACCATTGAGAATGTAGTTAATGCCATTGAAATGTACGCTTACAAATGGTTAAAATGATAAGCTATATCATGTAATGTGGTTAATATGATAAATGTTATATATATTTAATACAGTAAAGAAAAAAACATTTCAAAAGCTGATCATATATTTGACATAGTGCTAGGTATTCATCTTAATTTTTGAGTCACTGAAATTTATGTTGAACATATCATCTCTTAGAAGTTGGTCTAGTAAATATCACCAAACGCAGCAAATGCCTTTCAATCCTCATTTTATATGAACTATGTACAAGCTTCAACATTTATAACCACTCCTTCTGGAAATATGCCTGTCTTGGTTTTGATTATACTTTGTCCAGTTTCTCTTCCTATTCCTTCAACCAATTCTTCCTGACTTCTTTTTTAAGCTCTTCTACCTCTGCCCTAAAGCAGAGATTCAGAAATCTGGTGAAAATCCTTCACTCCTGCTTCTTCTGTGTCTAAGTCTTATTGACAGCGCCTTCTTAGCATTTGTCAAACTCATCTCCTCTTATCCATCCTACCAATGGAGCACAAATTCAAACATCTGTGGTTCTGTTGGTCTCCTAACAAGTCTGTCTTCTTTCTTGTTTCCTTCTTTTTAGGCTTGTCTCCCTGCCTCTGGTACATATGTCATTCTAGGAAAAATTTACAGGTGGCCCCTTTACAGAAAGTAGACTTCATTATTAAGATAATAAAGGGGGGCACCTGGGTGGCTCAGTAGGTTAAGCATCCAGTTTCGGCTCAGGTCATGATTTTGCAGTTCAGGAGTTCAAGCCCTGTGTTGGGTTCTGTGCTGACAGCTCAGAGCCTGGAGCCTACTTCAGATTCTGTGTCTCCCTCCCTCTCTACCCCTCCCCCACTCACGCTCTGTCTTTCTCTCAATAAACATTAAAAAAATTTTTTAAGATAATAAAGGAAGATTGTTTGCATCTGAGCATCCTGTTTGATACAAAGATGAATAAGGAAAATGAGATACGAAAATAACTATCAACAGAATGTCATGTGGTAACTGGCATAAGAGATATGCAAAAAGTTCAGGAAAAAAGTACAGAAAGGAGATAACATTGAGCTTGTTTTAAAGGCAAAATGAAATCATAAGCAGTTAAGGAATGGTGGGGACATATTTCAAAAAAGAGAAAGATAGGCACCTAGGTGACTCATTTGGTTGAGCGTTAACTCCTTGATTTCAGCCCAGGTCATGATCCCAGGGCATGGAATCAATCCCTGTGTTGTGTTCCGCACTGAGCTTGAAGTCTGCTTATGATTCTCTCTCTCCCTCTGCCCCTTTCCCCTGCTCATGTGCTCTCTCTCTCTCTGTTTCTCTAAAATAAAAAATAAAAAAAAAAAGGTGTGGCTAGAGAGAGGCCAGGGAGATCCATGCAAAACACAGCCAATGGGCCTGTTTTGCTGCAGCATAAAGTGTATATAGTTGATTAATAGACTATAAAGCTAGAAAGGTAGGTTTGGCTCAAATGTGAGAGGGCCTGAAGTACTAGGTTATAGCATATGGGCTTTATGCAGTAGACATTGAGGAAAGCTCTCAAGTTTTTGAATGGAGATTATTTGAATCAGCTTTACTATAGTATAATCTGCATATAATAAAATTCACCCATTTTAAGAAAACAGTTTTATGAATTTTAACAATGTTTATAACCATGGAACTAACACAAAGTATAAAACAATTCCATCCCACAAAGAGCCCCTGGTGCCTTTTTATAATTAGGTTTATTCTCCCATCCCCCTGGCAACCACAAATCTGTTCTGTCACTATAATTTTGTCTTTCCTAGGATTTTATATAAATGAAATCATACAGTGCATAATCATTTGTGTCTGGCTTCTTTCACTTAATGTAATGTGGAGGACGGATTCTGTTTTTGAAAGATTAATTCATTCTTTGCAGGTTAGGTTAGAGTCATGAGAGTCAGAAAACAGAGATGAGTTAGAAAATGGTTCCATTAGTCTAGAATGCGACTCTGAGCATGACTCAGAGTGGAACTAATGAGAGTAAAAAATTCATAAAACTATAGGTTATAATGCAGGTGAAAATTGGGTTAAACAAACATGACAGAAAAGCTTCCATAGGAGGCTTCAGTCAGAAAGAAGAAAGCTCAAGAGTGTGGGAGCTGGAGAATGATTATATTCAGGGAATAATGAAATTGAAATGAATGGCACAAGTGGGCGTGAAGATCACTAGGAAAGAGGATTAAGGGCCTCTGTGTCCCCAGTATGTGAGGATACTAATGTGCATGTTGATATGAAGGACAATGGGGAAGGATGAAACTATGAATCAAGTATTGATCCTATCCAAGAAGATAGAAGAGTCTTTGACTTTATTACCAGACTGAAGAAAAGCACTGGACTAGTAAATGGTACAAAAGAGGAAAGGCTGTAAAGGTTTGATGGTAGAAGGAGAGGCTGGAAGTAGCAGTGAGGTGCAGGGACATCTTGGCCCTTTCTTTCCTAGTGCTATAGACTGAATTATGTCTCCCTAAAATCCATATGTTGAAGACCTGACCCCCCAATGGAGATGGTATTTGGAGATGGGGCCTTTGAGAGATAATTAGACTTAAAAATTTTTTTTTAATATTTATTAGTTTTGAGAAAGAGAGAGACAGTATGTGAGCGGGGGAGAGACACAGAGAGAGAGAGTGACAGAATCCAAAGCAGGCTTCAGACTCTGAGCTGTCAGCACAGAGCCCAATGCAGGGCTCGAACCCACAAACTGTGAGATCATGACCTTAGTTGAAGTCATATGTTTAACCAACTGAACCACCCAGGGCCCCAGAGAGATAATTAGTTTTAAATGAGGTCATGAGAATGGGGCCCCATGATGGAATTCATGTCCTTACAAGAAGAGACACTAGAGGACTCACCATCATTCTCTCCCTGCTATGTGAGGACACTGAGAAGGGGCTGTCTACAGGCCAGAAAGAATCTTCACCAGAACCCAGCCATGCTCCCACCTGGCTTGCATACTCCTAGCCTTTAGAACTATGAGAAAGTTAGTTTCTGTTGTTTAAGTCTATGGTAGTTTGTTTTGGCAGCCCAAGCTGATGAAGACACTTAGTGAGTCCCAGAAATGTGGGAGATGGAAGAGCTTCCATTAAAGGCTTTCAGAGGAAGTCCAAGCAAGGAGTTCTTTAGAAAATAGAATGATACGGTGAGGAAGAGTTTATTCACAGTAGAGAAAGAGTTTTTAAAACAGATACATATTTGAAATGTTTCAAGGTTGTCTTTTTCCTAGTGAGGGTCTACTGGATTCTGGTAATGTTTGTCTATTTTTCTAAAGAGACACAGAGTAAGAATTGGGGTTCTTTCTAATAGCTGATTCCTCTTCTGTCCTTCCCATATACAGAACAGTAGTTTATGGGTTAAAAGCAAGACTGTAACCAGACTGAATTCAAACTCTGCTTAACACTTAATAACCGTGTGACCAGGAGCACCTTTTTGAACCTCTTTATGTCTCCTGTTCCTCATCTTTAAAATGGAGACAATAATTGTTTCTGTCCCCTGGGATTATTATGACGATTAAATGAGTTACTGTGAATAAAGTGCTCAGAATTGGGCCAGTCTCAAGATGAATAGTCCTGTATGGACACAATATTCAGAGTAATAGTTATGTCCATAAATGGCAGTGTCAGCTAACCACTTAATGAAGCCAAAACCCTATGATGAAGAAGAATAATAATCATAGCTAAAATTAATTGAGGATTCTTAGATGCCCAGCACAGAGCTAGACCCCTACATGTGTTTCTTTGTTTAATTCTCAACATTGCAAATCAGGTATGGTTGTTATGCCCATGTTACTGATATGAAAACCGAGACATTGAGTCAAAGTAACCTTGTTTCACAACGTTCCAAACCCTATGATTTGTACTCTGTATTCCCTGCACTCCTTTCCTTCTCTTTTAATCCATCCACACAAATGCAGCCACTCCCCATATTGGGGCCTGAGAACACTCCAAGAATTCTAAGTAATTAATGTAGGTAATAAAGTTTGTTGGATATGACAATTGTGTCCTGAAGTGATTTCTCAAACTTGGGGAAAAGAACCACATTTACAGTTTCTTTAAAAGACTTCATTGTAATAACCTTCAGTAATATCTAGCCTATTAACTCTGCATCTCTACAACCCTGTCTTCAAAATTGGCCATCATGCTTTTCTCGTCTCTACTGACTACTTTTTTTTTGTGCCTTCTGTCTTTCTTTAGAATTTCCAGATGATATTAATCCTGTTACCAAAGAAAAAGGTGGACCCAGAGGCCCAGAACCTACCCGATATGGAGATTGGGAACGAAAAGGACGCTGTATTGATTTTTAAGCCACATATTGCGTCTCAGCCTTTTGGCTAAGATCAAGCGTGATTTTTAAGCCACATATTATTAACTTCAGTATCTTTTTTTTAATTAATTTATTTTTTGTTATTTTCTTTATTTCTTTTAAGTCATTTAATCTCTATAATGTGTTTTAAAACACAAATAATGTCTTGAAAGGAAATATGTTGCTATAAATTAGGAAAGAGGAAATATTTCTACATTAGAACATTAATTTTAACTTAAATACATTGGAGTATATAAATGATGATTAGAGCTGCAAACGTGTTTCATATCATTTTGGCTTAAATTAACCAGCTACTTATAAAATGCAAATATAAATAAAGCAAGTTTAATGATTTTTATTGCTATATGCTAGGTAATAGTGGCATTTTGAATGTGAGTTAAGGAACACATTATAGTTTCATAAGGCCACAATAACAACAGAAAGTCTAACTCCAGAGCCAGATTTCTTGGGTTCAAATCCTGGCTTTGCTACTTACTAGCTGTGTGACCTTGGTTAAGTTATTTAACTTTCCACACCTTAGTATCTTCATGTGTAAATTGGAGATAATACTGCCCTTAATGGGCAGTTGAGAACTTTAAATGAGTAGGTACATGTATTTAGAATAGTATATAGCACAAACCTCTCAGTGTTAGCTCTCTATAAATCATAAATGTATTTTTCCAAGTCTCTAGGCTTTCTGGGGGGAAATATTAAGAAATTAGGTTTGAAATACTTGAATTGAAATTGTTTTATATGAACATAGCATTATAAAATCATTAGTTAGAAAACTAATCACTAGTTAGTGGTTTTTTGCATGATGAACTGACCTGAAATATGCACTATTAAATCAAAATTTAGGTACAGAGGGCCAATATGTGACAAAAGTGGGGGATGAAATGGGCCAGCTTAGTCAGTTTTGATGACTCAAAAGCTCTTATCCTGTGGCCTTTGGATAACTGGGTCAGGAAATATCGAGTCCGGTTTACAGAAGTCGAATGAAGGAAGAAGAGAAACTGCTGGACTTGCCTAGGGCAACCCATGCTGGCCTCCAGCCTTACTCAGTCTCAGAGATTGGGCCTTCAGCACTCGGGTTACACTTAAATTACTTAGGAAGAAAGAGTTTGCGGGGCATATAGAAGACAATGCAGTGGGCTGATAATTGTGTGATATGAATTATAAGTAATATTATTTGAGAAGGTTGTAGGAGATTTATTTACATAAATGAACTTTTTGTAAAGTGTATCCTCAGAAACAAACTAGTGTGGTAATTGGGCCTAGTCATCCGTCTTTGTCAACATTTGTTCTTCTAATGGCAGTTGCTTGGTATGTTGCTAAGTAAGAACCACATTCCTTTAAAAACCTTCTGTAATTTAGTCAACCTTCAATTAGCCCACATTAATGAAGGCTTTTATTATGTTCACATTTCAGAAATACTGTGTCAGATTATTTTGTATTGCATAGTTTTGCTTGTGTTTATGATGTGATACAGAAAAGACAGCTTAGGCACTTCAAAAACTAATATAAAAGATGTAACAACCAAAGTGTTGTATTAAGGTAATAGAATCCTTAACCTCTGTTAGTAGTAACATGTTTCATGACAACTGTCAAATATATAGGTAAAAGTTGGTGACATGAAAACGTTTATGGTCTTTATGTCCATCAAACATTAATGGAAAAACCTGAAGATTTCCAAAAAATGATGCAATGGAAATGCATCACTCACATCTCCTCCTATGGGAAGCTGAGTTGACCAAGAACCCCAGCTGCTGCCCCCTGGAATCCACCACTGTGTTCCTACTAAGGCCACATTTTCCCCAGGCTCTTCCCAGCCAATGAATGAGTATGCTGGCCTACTCCCCTGATGAGTGACAGTGGCTCAAGCACTCCCCATTAACCTGCTCAGTTCTTTCTTCAGACTGATTTCTTTGGACCATCTGAGACTCTTCCTTACCCAACCTTCCTTTCCTTCTCTCTCCCCTTCACAGGAGTCAGACTGCCTGCTCTTCCCCTTTAAACATCTCCCCAATAAATCTCTCACATTTAATCCCATCTTATCATTTGTTTCTCAGAGAACCCAAATTAACATGGATCATTTTAAAAGAACAGTGTATAAAAGAGCAACTTAACAGGGTTGTTTTTTTTCTAGTACAATCAGTCTAATCACTTAAATTTTACATTGGGGATTTCTTGGAAATTATAGGTTGTACTTTTATATAGAAGGCACCATGGAGCCTTGTACATATTAGGTGCTTTGGTGGAATTGAATTATGTCCATCATTTTTTCTTATTTTGATATCAGTTGCTGTGAACTAGTCAAAATATAACATTGCCTATTATTAAACTTGAAGAACCAGGGGTGCCTGGGTGGCTCAGTCAGTTACTTCAGCTCAGGTCATGATCTCGTGATCTAAGAGTTCAAGCCCCACATCAGGCTTTGTGCTGACAGCTCACACCCTGGAGCTTTCTTTGGATTCTGTGTCTCTCTCTCTGCCCCTTCCCTGCTCACACTCTGTCTCTGTCTCTCTCTGTCTCTGTCTCTCTCTCTCTCTCAAAAATAAACATTAAAAAAATAAAACAAAAAAATTAACTTGAAGAACCAGCTTAAAGCCATATTCTGCAAGTAAATAACAAATGTTCATTGGTTGAAGAGAATAGTTTACAATGAGAAAACTTAATAAAAGTAGTTGTTAATGATGTATCAGCAATTTTAATGATAACTTCAGAAGAGCACAGTAATTTTTATAAGTATGGATGACATACTTATAAGAGCATTTTATAAGAGCACAGTAACTTTTATAAGTATGGATGGCAGTGGAGTGTTAACCAGCACTGATTGATCAATTTAGGAAGAAAAGCAAAAATGATTGCCTGAGTTCATTCCTTCATTCCACTGATTGTCTCATTCAGTGATTATTTGTCTACCATGTTCCAGATACTCTAATAGGCTCTGTATATTTGATGAATGAAACAGAGCCCTTACCATCCTGTCATAAAGTCTGATGGATTTGATTTGTACATGAGAACAGTTCCAAAACACAACTGACTGAAGACTGAATGCATTGCAAGTGACTGAATTCACCCCAACAAAGCCAAAGGGAACTTCCTGTGTTTGATGAGGATATCATTTTCTGGGTTTTGTTACTGGATGACTTTTTAGAGACCTAAGTTTTCACCTTCTTAAATCTAAACTGATTCTGTGAGATATGAATCAAGTCAGATATCCATTCTGTGATCAATTATTCTCTGACCAGTATATCAGACATTGACCTAGACACTGACCAAGAAGATATGGAGTGAACAGAGTGATGTAATTAAAATTCCTGGACATGTAAAGATTCTTCAAGCCATTCCAGGCTCCAGAAGAGCCTTTTGGGTAGACATCCCTCTGCACAACCAGTGGAACTAAAGCTGCTCCTGGCTTCCCTAAGCTAGGACTGGCCACTATAAATGAATTATAAAGATTATTGAATGATCTATACAAATGAGGGTCTGTGTGAATATTAGGAAATAATTATGATTACTAAGTATTCAGTGTTCTGTGTCCTCTGGGGACTTTGTTCTAAGTCTTTCTTCTTGACATCTCTCATTTCTAGAAATAGATGCCTCTTTTCTGACCCTCCCATTTACTCTGGCCATGGTTCTAACATAGGCACCTTTTGCATCTTCCTCTCCTTTTCCTTCTCCTTAGTACGAGCAATACTGTGTTTTATCTCTAACCACCTTCTCTCTTGTGATCACCCAAATCTGGATGGAGAATTAAAAAGATAGGCTTCTCTATTATTCAAAGTTTTTAGATAAAGTAACAGATTCTGTTTTCCGTGGCTATTAAACTCTTTGATCTTAAGACCCTCTAAAAGTCTTTGGAGATCCCTAAGTTGTTTAGGACCCCAAAGAACTTTTGTGTATGGAAGGGTGTTACATCTATTGATATTTACTATATTAGGAATGAAAACTGAACAGTCTTTAAAATATTTAATTTTAAAATTCAGTCAATAAAGCATGTGACTCTTGATCTCAGGGTCATGAGTTCAAGCCCCATGCAGAGTATAGAGATTACTTAAAGATAAAATCTTAAAAGAAAAATAAAAAATATAAAACAACCCCATAATAAAGTAATTACAGGCTAGCATAAAATAGCATTTTTTTTGGAAAAATACACAATTTTTCCAAAACCGAAAAAAAAGAGTGGTATTGTTTCATACTTTTGCATTTCTCTCTAATGTCTAACAATAGAAGGCAGCTGTATTCTCATATTATCTGCATTCAATTTCATTATCTGCATTCAATCTGTTAGGGTATTGTTTTGATTGATGTCTATCCAAAAAAAAAAAAAGAGGGCTTCACATAGATACATAGTTAGAAAAGGGAGGATCTCGCAGATCCCCTGGAAAGGTCTTGGGTGTCCCTAAAGTCCTTGGACCACACACTTCCAAGAACTGCTGAGCCGATTAAAGTAGAAAGGAAGATACTAAATGCAGACTCTTAGGAAGGGCAAGCAGAACAGGCTGAGCCTCTAAGACCAAGTTTCAGAACCACACAACAGTGCTAGCTGGAGAAAGGAGCTGCTGTCTGAAATCCAGGTCAGCTGCACATCTTGCAGGCAGGAACCTGCCACTCTACCACTGCCACGGGCCTTGGAACCCCTGAGGCTGCTGCCAACCACACTGGCAAAATGAAGTCCTGGGAGAGTTTCCCCCCTCATCTAAGCTGTTTCTGCATCACTGTCTTAGGTGAGTGCACACTAAAGTCAGATGTGTACCCTCGTGGAGGATAGGACATGAACTTTATTGAATTCTGTGTGGGTAAGGGAGGCTCCACAAGTGGAATTATTAGGTGTAGAGATGATACTCAAAGGGTTTTCTACAGATGTTACTTGACCATTATTCTCGGAGAAAACTAGTTAAGAATCAGTTTTATTGGGGCATAAAAGTGTAAAATACTTAAAGTATAATGTAGATGTATAAAAATAAGATTTGAGTAATCCCTAAAACATGTTAAATGGCTATTCCTGTTCATTTGAAGAATGCTTCCATAAAATTTGGTCATTTGAGCTTATTTCTTTTTATGCCATTTGCATAGCCTTTGGTTAATGAAATGAATGTTAGTTATGTGAAAGTTGCTTAAATTTAGTAACAGCTCATATTCATTTAAAATATTCTAGGGGCACCTGAGTGGCTCAGTCAGTTAAGCGTCCAACTCTTGATTTCAGCTCAGGTCATGATCTCATTGTTCATGGGTTCAAACCTCACATCGAGCTCTGTGCTGACAGGGGCCTGCTTTGGATTCTCTCTCTTTCCCCCTCCCTGTGTCCCTCCCTGCTCGTTCTCACTCGCTCACTCTCTCTCTCTCTCAAAATAAATAAAAACTTAAAAGAAAACACAGTCTAGATATATTTAGGCCCTGTATTTCTAACTTAGACGTGGCAAGTGAATCTTGTCTACAGCCTTGAAACTGCAAGTACTCCTAATTAGCTGTTGCTAGTAAAAAGAAATCATGGACAGATTGAGAATGGAGTTTTTTGTTGATGCAGGTGTGAGAAGATGAAAATCCAACAAAGAAGCTTGTGGAAGCAACTTGGAATGTTGGAAGCTAAAAACATACAGTGGAGAAAACTAGGAAAGTGTCTGCAGGGTTATCTTAAATTAGGCCCTTTGGAAAAATCTTAATTTATAAACTGAGATATTATAGACTGTAGACTGTAACCATTATCTTAAAACATTGCCTGTGTCTAAGCACAGAAGATCAGTGTAGTTAAGTTGGCATCTACAACTTTACAGATACATAAAGTTTGGATTCTTTGGGTTTATCAGAGCTCATATTTTGTCTCTTCCCTAAGTCAATGACTCAGGTGGATCCCTTATTTTTTAAAAAAAAAGCTTATATAAGATTTTATTTTGATAGTATCTTCTCATTTTCTGCTGGTTTGAAATGTCAGAACTTCTGAGTGGGTTGTTTCCTATCAAATCCAAACGCTTGATTACATGACCCTCTACCATTGTCCACACCTACACACTAAATGTTTGAACTGGGCAAAACAACCCAGGTCTTTTTATTTCACAGTTTTATATAGATAGATTAATGCTGACTAGAATGCCCCCTGCCTTTCTCTACAAACACCTACCTTTTCTCTCTTCTTCTGGTCCTTTGCTGGAATGAGGCAAGGTATAAACTACATAAGTGAAATGCCCTTATCTACTTAAAAAAAAAAAAGATTCTTGTCAGACCTTAATGTTTTTCCATGTGATGAATCCTGATCACATCTCGTCAAGCCTGCTCCTGCAGCAGCTCCTCATCCCTGCTGCGGATGCCACGGCGGCCACACACAACACTGGCCTGCATGTGGGGGCTGTGGTGCTTGTGGTGGTGGGCCTTGCCCTCCTTCCCAATCTTCTGTGTCTTTCTGTTCTAAGAGTAAGTTAAATTCTGCTGATTAGATGCACTTGATGAGATTTGGAAGGGCATGTGAGGGAGGGCTGTCATCCTGTTGCTAGCTTTTAAGCTGGCAGGCTCAGCCACACAGACTTCGATTGTCCTGCAGCAG